AGAATATTCACGCATCTTATATAGCTCTCATGAGCAAGTTTCTTTTTTGTTTTAAGTACCTCCTTATTCTTCTTACTGCATTCGGGATCAGCAGTACAATGTTTGTATGTTTCCTTCCATTCGGCCCATAAACTTTGGATCTCAGCCCGCTCGGCTTCAATCGCCGATTCATTGTATCCCGACGCGTCTGTATCCTTAATATTTTCCTCAAAGCAACAAATTTCCTCACACTGAGTTAAGAATTCTTCTAGATTCGCCATTTTCTAAGTGAAAGCTTATGTTCTTACAACATGAGCAAGAATATCAACAAATTAGATTTCACTTTATCAGTCAGCCAATTGACTTCTAATTTATTTTATGCAATATATCCAACTTTCAAAGAGCAAGAAATATAAATGTTGCCAAAATGGTATCTAGTATGTCGAATTACACACGACAATTTTCTTTTTAATTTTCTTTCCCGTGGGCAAGTTTCCAAAAATATCCAAAATGTTCCAAAAATTTAAGATTCCAATTTAATATAATTTCAAAGCAAAGTCGCCAATTTCCAGAAAAATATTTTCTTTATTTTTCCAAAAATATCCTTATTGAGCAAGTTTTATGCCACAAAATTGTTGTTTGCTCATCCAATAATCATATATATGATGGCTACAATTTGCCCAAAAATGTTTCAAATATAAAACACTCAAAAACATAGTCCAAATCCAATAAGTGTTTTTTTTTTTTTCCAACAGTTCACTCATATGTAACATTCAACTCAACTCAATGTCTCACTGACATATCAAAGTACAAAGATCCAAATGATCCATAAAACGTCATTATGTTTTAACATGAGCCAGTTTTTTATATTGAGAAGGAGAATTGTTCGGATTTGCAAACAACCAACAGTAGAGACAGCCAAACAACAATAAAACCAAATGTTTTTGTTTGCTTTATTTCCTTGCTTCTCTTTTCCAATGAGATACTGCCACCAGTCAAGCAAACAATCTCACATCAACACTTCGTCTCAGCAAAAAATTCACCCTCAGCAGTAAGAGCGAGTAAGAGAAACACACAACTACAATTATTGCAATAAAGAGCAAGTAAACACGGCCACTGAGACAACGCAGCAGCAACCCAACTGAACACAAGCAGCACTGTCAGCGCAAGAGCAAGCAACCAACAGACAAGTCAGCATAAAACAACAACAATGTGCACCCCAATTAAGTGCCAACAAAAACACCAAAAGTGATGATGACGAAAAGTGCCGGTTCAACCCAACAACAACGACACGGCAAATGACCAACAACTGGTAGAAATTCCAAATTTTTGTAACGGTACCCAGGAGTCAACAACTTGTTTTGCCTTGATTTTTTTTGCAAACACCATGGGCAACAACACCATGGGCAAGATATGAGATATGTTTTTTTTTTTCTTCTTCACCGGTTCACAAAGGACCATATGTTGGGGATACTCCTCAACCTTTCTAGGGTTAACCACGGACCACTCGTCCCTGGCCAACCTGGTTCCCACCTGTTGTTTGAGAACTACTTACGATTGTCACGCTGGAAATTGCCTGGGTACTGACGGCTTGTTGTCCTAGTCGTGGTCGTCCACTAGCAGCTATCCGCGGGGAAGATGTTGGGCAAACGGGCCTGGAACCGCCTTTACAAATAATAACTAACCGCACAGTTTTTTCTTCAATTTTGTTTTATTTATTTCAATTCACTTATTACTTATTATTATTACAATAGTATTTTGTTTGTATTAGTTTTAATCCATATGATTTTAGTTTATGTTTTCTCTTTTATTCTTATTTCACTTTTTCTTTCTTGTTAGGTTTTAGTTTTATGTTTTATCTCTGCTGACGGCTGCACTGGTAATGACCGATCACACAAAATTCACCAACGAACGAAAAAAAGAACAAAAGAAGAACAAATAATAAATGTCCTGTGTCGTGTCGTTATCAGTGACCGCCGTCAAAAAAAAGAGCGGAGCGGGCGACGTTTATGGGGATTTTTTTTGGTGTTGCCCTCTTTACGTTTCCCCATAAACACCCACTACGAACTATAAATACGTAATTTGTTACAATTACGGGGAATAATGTCACTAAAATCATATGTCTCTAAAATCATATACGTTATATGGGGGTTATACGAAACCATGGGCCGACATAGTCCTTCTATCCCAATTCGTTAGAAAGATAGAGTGACTGCAAAAGACAGACAGACGCTGATCCAGAATATATATACTTTGTAGGGTCTATTATGAATATTTAGAGGAGGAATGACAAAAGCTAATACACCCTCCAAAGAATGGTGGAGGGTATAAAAATATACAGGGTGAGATGAAAAAACTGCAACCTACTTCAGACTGCTGTCATTTCTAAGCCACTCTTCTGACAGCTATTAAAACTTATTCCAGCAACAGCTCATTATATTTTTTACAAACGTAAAAAAGCAATTTGTTGAGAATTTTCAAGAAAAAAAGTTATTTGTGATGGAATTCCAGCGTGATAGTGTGATTTCTTTATATTTGGCTGGAAAACCACAAGTGGTTATGGTTAGAGCACTCCAGCATTTAAATGTGAATAAATCTTTTGTGTCTCGTCCATCGCTCGTTCCAAAAAGTGCAAGAACTAATACCGCAACAGAAAGAAAATAAACTCAAAAGAGCTAAGGAGTTGCTTCGCTTGGCCGAAAGTGGTGAACTGTCGAATTTGCATTTCTCCGATGAGAAAACATTCGTTGTCCAGCAGTTTGTAAACAAACAAAATGATCGTGTATACTTCGCGCTTCGCCGGGAATGAGCTAAAATACCGCAGAGCAACATTCGGGCAGGGTGGGACGGTTTCTTCGGCCCTTTGAAGGCCGTAATTCGTGCCAAAGGTGACCAATTCGAACAAATCTGAACTTATTCTGTACCTGAACTTATTCGGTACCTCCCTATATTCGGTATTTTGATGATTTTAGAGACATTATTCACGGGAATTGTTTCAAATTTAGTATTTGAAGTTCAAAATGGATACTACACCCTAAGACGGAAAATTGTCTGTGCAGGTCCACGTCTTCGTATAGCCCCCATATAACGGTACCTCCCGATATTCAGTATTTTAATGATTTTAGCGACATTATTCACGGGAATTGTTTCAAATTTTGGTATTTGAAGTTCAAAATGGATACTACACCCTAAGACAGAAAATTGTCTGTGCTGGTCCACGTCTTCATATAGCCCCCATATAACGGTACCTCCCTATATTCGGTATTTTGATGATTTTAGCGACATTATTCACCGAAATTGTTTCAAAATTGGTATTTGAAATTCGTTATGGGAACTACAGTCTGTGACAGAAAATTGTCTGTGCGGGTCCAGGTCTTCGTATAGGCCCCATATATCAGTACCTCCCTATATTCGGTATTTTGACGATTTTAGGTACAATACCCACCGAAATTGTTTGAGATGTGGTATTTGAAGTTCGTGATGGATGCTACAGCCAGTGACAGAAAATTGTCTATGCTGGTCCAGGTCTTCGTACAGCTCCAATTTAACGGCACCTCCTTATAAACGATGTTTTGATGATTTTAGCTACATTATTCACCGTTTATTTCAAGTTTCGAATTTGAATATGGTAATGGCTTATGACAAACAATGCCTATGTATGTCCATTTTATTTTTTAAAAATTTCCAAATTCGTTGCAAATGGTGGAGGGTATTAAAAGTTCGGCCCGGCCGAACTTACTGCTTTTTAACTTGTTTTTATCTTGGAAGATTTTGACTATTTTTAAGGAGTTACAAGAAGATGTACACCGATATTGCATAAATATCTAAAATTGATAGAAAATTCACAATACAGAAGGTGTAGATTAAACCAAGTGTTCCTTTTAAGATTTACAGAAATGGATTTCTAGCAAAGAAACCGATTTTGATAAATCACACATTGACCGCACTGAATTGATATCTCTCTGTAGGCAGGTTGATGATATATTTTTTTTTTTTTTGTAAATATGGCAAACTATGAAAAAATCTTTTTATTATTTGTTGGTAAAAAATCATATTGTTGTGTCCTGAACTCGTAGAGGTAAAATGTGCAGAATCTATCTGGAAAACAATGTAGTGTATAAATCCCTACCATTCTTAAGTTTACAATTACCACTCAGCAATTCACTTATTTTTTTTATCTCCCAAAAAAAAGCCAGACAGTCCTCTATATTGTTGTGTTAATAAAAAATAACATTATTTTGGTTTTTATCTCCATAGCATCTGCTTAAATCTAGTCTAAATGGCAAAAAAAAAAAAACAAAGGAAAAGCTAAATGTTTTCTTCAGTACGTGGCAGACATAAAATTAAAAACATTTTGCCACTGGAAACTCTTTATAAACTCATTTCTTAACTGCTCTTTAAATCGAGCAGTTTCCATTGCGTCTTTTGCAAGCAGATAAAACGTTTAGGAGCTACAACCAAGCATCAACGGTGCAGCGTTTCAAGAAGACATTCACATTCAATTGTTTTGTAATGGACGACGGTTGTTGCTTGTCGTCGTTGTAACATTTCTGCAATTTTTCTTTCTTATTTTTTTGCTTTTCTTTTGTAGCTTTTTTGTTTTGTTCCGTTTTTTTTTTTTTTTTTTTTTTTTTTTTTTGTACCAAAAAAGCTACAAAAATATCTGTTACAATTTTCCAAGTTTAGTGAAGCGTGTTTCGCCAGTTGGGTTTAAACAAACACACATAAAGTTCATAGTTTCTTGTTCGGTTTTTGTTACTTTTTTCGGTGTACGTGTGTGTGTGCATCAATTGACCCCCAGGACGAAATAGGAAAACATAAATACTAAGCGAGAGCAGCACCAGACAAATGAAACATTCAACTGCCATTGTCGCCGCCGCTGTACGTTTGTGTGTGTGGGTGTGTTGTGAATCTACGTTGCAAGTGACAAGCTGGAAATGATTTTCCCCCGCAAAACAAAAAAAAAACGAAACCGAACATAAAAGCCCCTGAAGTGATGTTTTTTTTTTTTTCATACGAACCTTGCCATTTTCGAAAATGCCATTTGTCGAAACTGCACCGCCTACATGTTGCTGCTGCTGATGTTCTGAGGCGCCAGCAACAGGCCCAGCTGTTGCAGCTGTTACTGTACCTGGCGTGGTAAATACATTTGCTTGATAACTATGCTGTTGCAGCGTATGTTCCTGTTGCTCGGGTAAAATGTCCAGAGGTGGTGGTATATAACGTTCATGATGTGTCACGGCTGGCTGTTGCTGTTGCTGCTGCTGTTGTTGTAATTGTGTTTGTGGTGCTACAGCCGCTGTCAAAGGACGCGTTTCAACGGAAATCTAAAAAAAGAGAAATTATTGTTAAAATTTATGGATTGTTATTTTCTGAGGGGGAGGGGGAACAGAATCAAATTGGAGTTGGTGCGGACAGTTCACTTGAATAATTTTTAAGTCAATTATTGGTTGGCAATCCAACGAAGAAGCTAAATATGACAGAGTATTTTCATATCATGGGAAATCAAAATAAACCTTATTGAATGCAGCCCAACAAACAATTTGGAAGATGAACATACACTATATCAGTGTGAACAAGACGCCCTTGGGAAAATAAGACTTTTGAAAAAAGCTATAAGTGACGAAATTCGAGTACTGTTCATTGGGAGGGTGAAACTTGCTCGCGAGCAAAAGAGCTCGAAGAGTTGGAATTTTATACGAAGTTTACTCTTTTGTATTATGACGGAATTCTTCCGAATCACTTATGTTTGAAAAATTAGAGCGAGACTCGAATCGCTCGAAATAGAGTAAGAGATTACTCTAAGACTGAAATCTAGTAAAACTAAGATTGCGATTGCTGTGAACTAAACTAATTCAAGGTGAAGTAAAGAAGCCGAAATTTCAATACGTTTAGAAAAGTAAAACTTTAAAAATATTGCTTTAAGTGTCGAGAGCGCTGTTATTTATAGATATGCCTTTTTTCATTCGGGGTTGAAACTTGCTGGCGAGGGAGAGAGTTCGAAGAGTTACTCTTTACTCTTTTGCTTTATGAGGGAGGAGAGTTCGAAGAGTTACAGATTTAAATGAAGTTAACTCTTTGCTCTTTTGCTTTAGGAGGGAGCGCTGGCGAGTCACTTCTGATTGAAAAATTAGTGTGAGACTCGAATCGCTCTACATAGAGTTAGAGTTTGCTCTAAGACTGAAATCGAGTAGAACTAAGAGTGAGATTGCTGTGAACTAAAATATTTCAAACTGATGTAAACAAGGCGAAATTTTAATACTCTTCGAAAAGTAACTTAAATATGCCTTTAAGTGTCAAGATTTCGCATTCGAGCGCTGTATGTTAAATTCAAAGCACAGATTTGCTTGTTTTCATTCGGGGGGTGAAACTTGCTCGCGAGAGAGAGAAGTCGAATAGTAGCTCTGGTTAACTCCTCACTTTTGTGTTTTATGAAGGAGCGCTCCCGAGTCAGTCCGAAATGTTAGAACGGAAGTCGAATTTCTCAAAATATAGTAAGAGTTTGCTCTAAGAGTGAAATCGGGTAGAATTAAGAGTAAAATTGCTGTGAACTAAGAGGGACTGGTGTGATTGTGCAGAAAATCAAAGAAGAGCAAATAGCAGAAACAAGGACGGGTGGACTTTGTGTACAACAATAACAAAAGAAACAAAACTTTCGTATGCTTCGTTGGACTTATTTGTTTTTGTGTCGTTTGCAGTTGTGGGTTACATACGTATACATAGAGGGTTGCCCATATTCGACGGACCTTTGGGCCCATTCCAATCGACGAGGCTTGTCCGCAGGCAACATTCTTTGCGTCAATTGAATTTTGTACGGGAACAAATGCAAATCAATGCGAATAATCCGTTGTAAAGTGGACCGAGCCATGCCCAACTGCTGAGAACGGCGTTTTTGGGATGTTCTTGGGGACCTCTCAACACTGGCTCGTACGGCAGCGATATTCTCGGCCGATCGCCTTGGTCGACTTTTATATGGCCTCTTCGGATTAGAAAGAGCCTTACCAGTCGAAAATTTTTCGTATAAACGCTTAATGGTGTTCTTAGAAGGCGCACTTCTCACATTTTTTTTTCACAATTGACTTCTTCTGTTGAATGTAAATTTCAACTATTTCAGAGCGCTCGCGTGGCGTGTATTGTTTCATGGTAAAAATCTGCTTGGACTGACGCTTCAAACGCGGTATGTCATTAAGCGATGTGACATCTCTATCAAAAGTTATGGCGTTGCCAGATGGGTCCGTCGAATATGGGCAACCCTGTACAACACTGGTATGACAACTAAACTAACAGAGTGACAAACAAGACTAGAAACTGCTCGCTTTCGAGAAAATTTTGTTCTCACTCTATAACGAGCGAAACAGGTTCGTACATATTTGAGCGACACCGAAAAATCGTTCGATGTTCTTTTCTACTCCCGGGAGAACATTTTAAAACTCGATCGAGTCAACGAAGGGGTCTTTTTGGAATTGAAATTTGTCCCACTGTGTTATTATTGTTTAAAATTTTGTAAAAAGGAACTGAAAGAAGTGGGCCAATATTGCTCTATGTCTTGTCTTAATTTTACAGTTTACCAAGTTTGAACTACAGCGCGTACTCCCTACGTTTTTTGAGGAATTTCTGTTTTATTTTTTTCAATTTTGAGCTACCGGAATTAGCGAAACGAGCTTGTCCATCTCCGAACTCAATCTAAGTCTGGTAAATTTATTAATATGTGGAAAGTTTGGACAAATTTGATACTCCTTTTGAGAGTTATCGTGTTCACAGAAAGAAGAACAAATACGACAGAAGAAGAACGGATACGACTAAATCGACTACAGAGATTCGGAAATCGATTTCGTCCAAAGAGATTAATCACATTTGGTGGCATCAAACTGAGGGTATAATTATGAAAATTTCAAAAAGTCTGCCATTTTTGACATTCTTCTTTTTAACACTAACTTTATACTGTCCCATGAAAATATTATATTCTATTGCATTTACACCCAATATTATTATAATTTTTTCCCAAAACTCCCATTTCACCACTACCATTATTCATTTGATCCCAATGACCTACCATAATTCCATTATTAATAGTTATTTCCGCCACCCAAGAAGAAGGTGTCCCCAAAATATACAAAAAATAACTATGTGCTACATACCTGTGACAATGAGCCATCCTCACTGAATACCGGGTGGCCAATTAAACGTGTGACCTCACGTTGCACAACCAATACCAAAACTGCACCACAGGCTTTCAACACTTGAACCGCCTGATAATGATCGGCATCCACGACGGGTATGCCATTCACACGGATAACTTTGTCACCAACTTTAAGGCCAGCCAAATCGGCGGGACCACCTTCGGTGACACGTGATATGAAAATACCATCGTCATCGCCCTTGAACGGTGTTGAGCCCTTGCCGCCGGCAATGCTCAAACCCAAACCGGCGGAGGTGCGTTCAATGTGTATTTCGTACTGTTCCAAACGTAATTCGGTAACACCATCCAAAGTATCTGCAAAAAAGCAAAGTAGGGGAAAAGTAAAAGTTTAGCGATGAATAAATGTTACATTTTTTGTGAGGCAAAAGTCATTATTTAACATAGATACCTACTAAAGATGGAAAGTAAATAAGCCATATTTATATTTACATAAAAATATAAGTGGGATTTATAAAGTAAAGATACCCTGGCAAATGGAAGGAAAGGAATAGGTAGGGAAGGAAGTAAGTTAGTAAAATGAAATGATGGTCATTGTTTGCCTGGTGGTATATGCGAAGCGCCTGGTTTGCCATGTCTTAAAGTTCAATTCAGTTTTTTTTTTTTTTGAACATGCAAGTCACGTTTCCCAATTACCAACTCCAAAAAGGCGTTAGCATGTGCATAAACAATTAGAAAATGACATGACTTGTAGACAGCCTTGTCCTTGCCAAGGACGGGCCACCTTACCATGGCACGACAATCTGTACTCTGGATAGATTTTATATGGTGATATAGATTCACATCTGGCGTTGGGTGCAAGATGAGGAACAGTGGGAGGTAAAATATATTTCTTTCTACAGAAAAAATATGGCCTCATTGTAAGAACTGAGGTCACCGATAATTTTTTAAATAGAAAAAAATGTGGCCTCAGCGTAAGAACTGAGGTCTCCGAGAATTTTTTTCCATAGAAAAAAAAATGTCCTCAGTGTAAGAACTGAGGTCTCCGAGTATTTTTTTCTATAGAAAAAATTATGGCCTCAGTGTAAGAAGTGAGAACTGCGAAAATTTTTTTCTAAAGAATAAAATGTGGCCTGATTGTAAGAACTGAGGTCTCCGAGAATAGACAAAAATTGGTATCACTGTATTTTGTTCCTTAAAAATATTTTCCTTTGATCCACTGTGCAATCTTGGTTACAAGTATGACATTCTTCCATATGTATAACCTCCAACTTACCATAATTCCTTACACGTTGTTGCTGCTGCTGCAACATCAACATGTGTTGTTGCTGTTGTAGCTGCTGTTGCTGATATAGCTGGTCATCGGCTGCTGTTGGCATATAAGTTGTGACAATTCTAACACGTTTGTCTTTACGTTTCAGTGAATTGCTTGGACTACGATTCGATGATGCCAACGAGCTGCGTAAACTTGTGGTAGCAGGACTATTGCGACCAGCCAATGAATAGGCGGTACCACTACCACTACCCGTACTAGTTATCGAACCGGCACGTTTACTTCGAGGCAATGTATTATTGCCTTCTTTAACTTTAATTTTAACATTGAACATTGCGGGCTGTTAGCTTTCAATTTCACGGGGCGGTGAGGAGCGTTGTGTGTTGCTCAACAACCTTTTAATATTTTGCTCACTTTCTCTGTCTTTCGTTAGGCGTGTTTAGTTATTCATACGCTCTATGGGGGATTTGTTGGGGATTTATTTTGGTTATTGATTTGATTTTTTCTTATCTAATAGTGAATAAATTTTTTGTGAATTCCTTGTTTCTCTCTCTCTCTCTCTCTCTCTCTCTCTCTCTCTCTCTTTTGTTGTTGTAATATAAATTAAGGCATTGTGAAGATTCTAAAGCGATCTAAAAAACGTTCTATTGGAATAAGGATTTAAAATTATTTTTCTTATTTTAAAGTTTTAATTTTTCTTATTTTTAAGTTTTAGATACAGAAGTCGGAATGGAAACCATTTATACTGTGCAACACAGACCAAGTCGTCTAAAGCTGCCTCCCTTAGAAAATTCAATTTTCAAATATTGTATCATGTTCGCGTGGTATTAAATTATTAGCCGTAACTCGATTTTTAATATTTTGATTTAATATTAATTTATGCACCTCAATTGATGCCCGAAAGCCGCCAACTACATTTTCCTGCACTAGACAGCTGTAGTCCTCCATTATTATTGCTCCTGGCCTCATTAGCATAATGAAATGGAATTCGATTATGTTCTTCCAAATGAAAATGGAAATTTATTATTATCTACAAATCGAATGACCAAAATATGGTGAGAGATTGACATTTCACATGTATTTTTTATGAGTGTGAATTAATTGATTGGGATATTCTGTAAAACGGCAAAAGCAAGATTCGAAAAAGGAAATTTGACGACCTTACCAAATTTGGGCTTTGTTCTAATTAACACCGACGTCTGTCGGATATAAACTTGACTTTTTTCTAATATTTATGCGAAAATGTTTACTTTTTTGAATATTTTCTGTACATCTAAATCTGCCGGTACAGTTATATGAGGGCCATACGTAAGCGAGGATATGTAGAGGAAATTTTCTGCCATAGGAAGTACTGTCCACTGCGAACTCTAAATTCCAAATTCAAAACAATTGAGCTAAAATCGTCAGGTTACCGAATACTGGGAGGTACCTTTATATGTGGGCTATACGAAGGCGTGGATCTGTAATTCTGTTGAAATGCGTAAATCAAATCATTAAAATATCGAATATTTGAAGGTACAGTCATATGGGGACTATACCAAATCTAAGACCTATATTTTATGCAAGGATATTTTCGACATACTGGGGACTCAGAAGGCCAACTTACAGCGAATTCGGGCTAAAAAAAAACAACAAAAAGCCTGTGAACAGCTTATGGCAAAACGTGGACCAATATAGCCCATTTTCAATACTAAAAGTGCTGCAGACCTAAATCTACATTATTTTAACAATCTACAATCTATCATCTCGTTCGGAAGCTAGAGTGATTTCCATAGACGGACGGACAGGGCTAAATACGCTGATCCAGAATACATACAGGGTGAGATGAAAAAACTGCAACCAACTTCAGACTGCTGTCATTTCTAAGCCACTCGTCCGACAGCTGTTAAAATTATTCCAGTGATAGCTCATTATATTGCTTGCAAGCGTACAAAAGCATTTTGGTGAGAATTTTCCAGAAAATGGCATTCAAGCGTGATAGTGTGATTTTCTTATATTTGACCGGAAAACCATAAGTGACTATCGTTAGAGCACTCCAGCATTTAAATGTGAATAAATCTTTTGTGTCTCGTACCAGCGCTTGTTACCGTGATACTGGTAGCGTAGCCCGACGTCAAGGAAGTGGACGTAAGAAAACATCAACATCAGCAGAAATGGTTCGGAATGTAAAGAAGCGACTTGATCGAAACTCGCATCGCAGTGGCCGAAAAATGGCTCGTGAGCTGAACATATCGCAATGTTCCATCCGGCAAATATTTAAAAATGAGCTCGGGGTAAAGCCATTGAAAGAGTTGCTTCGCTTGGAAGAAAGTGATTAACTGCCGAATTTGGTTTTCTCCGATGAGAAAACATTCGTTGTCCAGCAGTTTGTAAACAAACAAATTTATCGTCAGCTGAAAATGTGCACCTTCGGTTGGCCGCCATAACAGCCGATGATCGCTCTTCGCTCGTATTAATCGACCGTGGCATCAGAATAAATGCCGAATTTTATCGCGAAAATATTCTGGAGGGTGTATTAAATCCTTGGGCACGTAAACATTTTGGCCGCAGACCTTGGATATTCCAACATGACTCAGCACCATCACACTCAGCACGCGCCACCTAAGAATGGTTACAAAATGAGGTTCCTCGCTTCATTTCCAGCGCACAATGGCCACCAAAATCTCTGGAAACCAATCTGTTAGACTATTGTGTCTGGAGTATTTTGGAAAGCAAGGTTGGCTCTAAAATATACCAAAGTGTCGATCACCTCAAGCAAGCGCTTCGCAGGGAATGCGCCAAAATACTGCAGAGCAATATTCGAGCAGCGTACGACAGTTTCAATGTTCGCTTGAAGGCAACAATTCGTACCAAAGGAGACCAATTCGAACAAATCTAAACTTATTCAGGAATTCGATGCATTTCCGACATTTTTTGCTCTCATTCAATAACATTTCAAGAAAAATTTAAAAACTATGCCGTTTGACTTTGTTGCAGTTTTTTTTTTATCTCATTGCATATCTAGGTACAAAAGTTTCCAGGAAAATTATATTCGAAATATACATAGTGCAGTGGACGTTACGTTACGTGTCACGAAGTTTACGTGCTTTTTTTCTCTTGATTTAAATCGTATCAAATCTAAGTCTAAATCTCCCATTATACTTCATTTTCCGTCACACTCGAATCCATTTATAACTCTCTCTCTCTCCCTCTCTCTCTTGAAACTTGATGTACCCCAGCTCCTCATAGAATGTATTAATAACATTCTCATTTATGTCATTCTCAGCATCAGGTATCCCAGTAGAGGGATAGCCTTAAGGATGCGCGTGCTTTAACCTAATCTAACCTAACTTAAAAAAAAGAAAAAAACAAGTAAAAAAGCTGTAATTTCGGCCGGGCCGAACTTTTAATACCCTCCACCATTTGGCACAAATTTGGCAATTTCAAAAAAAAAATAAATAAATAAAATCCGTTTAAAATTCTGTTAAAATCTTAAAAAATGCCTATACGGCGACGTAGACCTGCATAAATATACTTTGTTGGGTCTGACATGAGTATTTCGAGGAGTTACAAACGGAATGACAAAATTAATATACCCTCCATAGTATGGTGGAGGGTATAAAAAGTAATCAATTAACAACTATTGTTTTTTATTTAAATCTCAACCACAATTAAAGCTTTCAATTGAATGCAAAAATAACGCCGAATTTCTATTTTAGCGGTAATATGGTTCCATTTGAAATCTGCTATATTTATTTTATTTGCAATACAGATTACCCGAAACATACTTTTCTTATGTCGCGCCAATGTAGAGTTATGAAAAAATACAAATTTAATAAAATTCAATAAAAAAAAAACACCAAGAAGAAGAACAATCATCGCCAAATTGTTCATGATTGCTAAAAGTCGATGTAGTTTTTTCCCCCATCTTCTTTCATCTGCTATTTTATATTCAATGCTTGGGGAAAATGCAAATTTTTATTATTTGTTAAAATGCCATGTTCGACAAGCTCTCTAACTCAAACCCCACACGCAATGATGTAGCAGGAAAAAAAAAGTTACCACTTCTATAGAGCGGGGATTGAAAAATACATATGGGTGTGTG